AATGAGTTCTGGGTCACCTAAGCAAATGTCTTAAATAAGAAGCTTCAGGTAACAGTATTACACCAAAGGTGTAAATTGCCACTTATTTCAGACTCAAATGAGACAAAAAAAAAAAACTCCGAGACCCTATCTCCAAATAAAGCAGGCCTTCGTCACTCAATGTGTCAGGAATTTTTGCACTTTGTACAGATTTCCCCCCAATTTTAATGTTTTCTTTACTTTTTTACAATTCAGAACTTTTTTGTAAAAAAAATAAATAACCCTCAAGGTGTGGAAAACATATTTTGCACAAAATAATTTTGGTCATATCTTATTTTACTTGCTGTTTTTGCTGACAATAATAATAATTTTAATCTACGTGTATGTATGTCAGTACTGACATGGAAGACAGAGAGTGTGTATGTGTGTAGAGGTTTTTCAGCACACTTGAAAGTATATATATCCATTCTATGATAACCGATTTGTTTATAATATTTCACAATACAATAGGAATTAGTTGAAAGTACACACCATTCTTAAGGAATATTGGAAAAGGCTACTTTTCTCACTATTTATCAACATTTATTAGGAGATGTCAGATTTTGTATTCATAGTACCATCACTTGCTTGCTTTAACTTGTCCTCATTTGCTATTGGTGATGCCATCAAATGACAAATCTGACCGGTTCTGATATTATACTGGAAATGTTAAAATGAGATTCAGCTGTATTATTAAAATGTTATCCTTATCAGGGATTCCCCAAATGCAGAAGAGAGCAATGAGTATCTGTTAGAAAGAAATAGTGCTGAACAAGTTTTGTGTAATTTAAGACTTGTATCTGAGAAAATTAAACAGGGTTACACTGAAATGAAAAAAGAACAGTTGCAGATATTATTTTAATTTAAAGGGCAATTTATTTTGATCTTTGAATGGAGCAGTCTTGAGGAATCTGAAAAATATTTAGTGAAGCTCTATTAATACAACAGTCTCTTGGTATCTGCTGGTATTTAGTTCCAGAACCTCCTGCGAATACCAAAATCTGTAGCTGCTCAAGTCCCATTATATGCAATGGCGTAGTAAAAGGTGGTGTATATGAATGGCACAAATATGATCATTTGAAATCTGGTGCTAGTAAAACATGAGAATACTTTTCTTTCTTATGTGATTGATATGACATACAAGCAAACTAGGATGTCACATAAGGTACTACTGTCCAAGAAACACTTTCTTATTACATTTTAGTTTTAGTTTTCTATGCAGCAAGACCACATAATACAAATACAACACCGCTAAATACAATACAAGTGCAATACACTAAACTATATTCCCAACTTACTTACTTGCATAGTGCCTACCAACACTTATCCCCATCCACCACCCAAACATATATGACATTCCGATTCCTGGACTAGAGACACAAATCTATTCTTCTGTCAGACAGTCATTTATAAACAGCTTACAATTCAAAACTCATAATCATTATATTCCCTCCACCCTCTCTCCCTCCATCTCCTTTTGACAAAGCTTAAAAATGGCTCTCAAGCCTTTACAAACACCTCTCAGGACTTCACAGAGGTGGACCTTGGAGTACTACTTGATGTGCCTTATAATCTTGTCAAATCTGGTTAGTTCTGCCTTGGTCAACAAAAATTGGCACATGGAATCATGCACCAGTTCTACCCTGTCGTAAAATTTAAACTCACCAGACTGTAATCACTTTAGTATTTTGTTGTTGTTGTTGTTGTTGTTGTTGTTGTTTTGATGTGGGCAGCTCTAGCCTTCTATCTGTATGTGCGTGCACATTTTCAAGTCACCTTCTGAGTTACAAATTTTACAGAGCTGTTTTTCCAGTTTCCTCCTCTGCACCCCTATTCCCTGGTAGTATCTTATCTAAGTATTAACCAGGGCTGACCCTGCTCAGCTTCCAATATTGGACAAGATCTGGTGCCTTACAGGTATTTAGGGCCTTTAGCTTTCTAGCAGGGCCGCTAAAGTGGGACATGAAAACTACTGTCATTTTTGAAGCATGCTTTGCTTACAACCTTTTGATGTAGAACCTCATTTTTTGTTCTTGGCTTTCCGCAGCCTTGACCCTCCCTGAGTGCTGCCATGTCCACTTATCCATTCCCCATTTGTTTGCCTGTAGCTTCCCCCCACTGCTGTGATGACACTCATGTCCTGACTTGTTCGCTAATACTTGTTCTCAGTTCTTATGGGGACAGCCTTTCCTAAGGCAACTGCAGCAACAAAAAAAGCTTTCAGCTAGCCCAGGATTATTATGACTGCCTGTCAGTGGCATGCTTTCCCTCTTTTGCTCCCTGATGAATATTTGCTACAATCAGCATTTCTAATGCCTCTGATCAGTGCACTGAATTAAGAAAGAAAGAAAAAAAGGAGGGAGGAAGGAAACACTCTACCAGTGCAGGTCAGAAATAGTTCAACAGTACGGCTTTTCCCGATGCATAAAAAAAGCACTCCAGAAACAAGAATTTATTGCAATTGCACTGTTAAGTATAAACTTGGGACTAGATATATTTTTAAAATATTATTTAACCTATTTTGGAAAAAAATGAAGACATTGAAGAATACTCTTGGCAACCTAATTCTAATATTCTGTTTTAATTCTATTTTATCTTTCTCAAATGTTCTATCCTTTCCATGAGATTTTCCATGGGTGGCTGACCTGGATTGTTCCCAGATCGTGCACATTTTTAGCACTGATACAATACTATGCTCTGACCATCCCCAAACGTACCTAGATGACTGCAGTTCAAAAGCACTGAGGAATGAATATCTGCTTCAATGAATAAAGGAACACGTGGGATGGGCTGCCTGACTATTGGGTTGCAAAACAATGTTGTAACACACTGTTATTGTAACAACATCATAACCTGATCTAATATTTCAACCTGACCTAACATTGTGAGCTGTATCAGTGGAGCAAGGACAGGTCAATATCACTTTAATCTGCTGCAGTCATCTTCAGCAAACAGTTTAAAAAATGGAAGACTTTGTTTCTCCCGTATGGTGCTTTGAGATACAGAATGCTGATTCAATAAATAAAGGAGGAGGAGACAACAGGACAAATTCAGATGTCAGAATGAGACAGAACACTACAATATTCTGCCTTGCCGAAGGTAAAACACACTGGCTAATCACTTCTATTTGCATTCAGTGGCTAAGCAAACAACAGAGCTTCTATTCATGCAAGATCTAAACTAGTAGGACCCAGACTCCAGCATATCCCTTCACAACAGAAAAATTGCCCATAGGTTACTTTTCTGGTTTGTCAAGTTAGAGATTCTTCAAAGTACCTCTGTTGAGACATCATACTAAAAAAAATATTGGTGCCTTACAGGTATTTAGGGCCTCTAGCCATAAATTTTCCTAGTTTCCAACAGAACTCACAACCCCTGTGGAATTCACAACCCCTGCCATAGTTGCAGGCAAAACGTCAGGAGAGAATGCTTCTAGAACATGGCCATACAGATTGAAAAACCTACAACAACCCAGTGTTTCCAACCATGAAAGTCTTCGACAATACATACTAAAAAAACTATGGAAGGAAAGTCTATGGTTTGTTTAGCTATCTCATTAAGTCACTGATCCTCTCATAACAATTAATAGTGTTTTACTTGCGCTTTGATAACATACCAGGAAGCTGATTCATTGGGGGCTAGGAACCAGTTAGCCTTTGATCTATTCCAAATTTATCATGGTAATGTGACTTAGGGGTCCATTTATATTCATTCAGCCAACGATCTCCACCATACCTTCATAACATAGATAGCCCATATGCATAATATCCCAATTGTCATTCCATGCTTCACATATATTACTGAACAAATGGTCTCTAAAACAGTTATATGGTAAATTAAAATGAAAACAGGAAATTAAGCATAAAACAAATATCGATTAAACATGCAGCACCATCAACAGCAAAATACATTGGGTCATCAGAAGGCAATATTAAATCATGACACTGGGAAGAGGACCTCTAGAGACCAAAAACAGCTGTAACTTCCTCTCTAAAGAAACCAAGGCTACAGATCAGGCATGACCAAACTTTGGCCTTCCAGATATTTTGGACTTCCACAATTCTTATCAGCCAGTAGGCTGGTTGTTAGGAATCGTGGAAGTCCAAATTATCTGGAAGGCCAAAGTGTGGCCATGCCTGTTACAGATACAGGATAACTCTCTGAGCCAACACTATTGAGAAATTGCTATATCTAACAGCTGATAATATCACTTATGATATCAGCATTTACCTTATGACCTTGTTGTTAGAGCCCATTTCTTAGGTAGGTTTGTTTGAATATTGAAACCATGTGAACACTATCCCTCAGAAAATTCTTTATGTAGATAGTGTTTTTATTTCCACATAAAGCAGATTACAGAATTTGACCAGACAACATAAATTGCTGAACAGTGCTATTACTTTGCACCATTTACAAAATGGGAAATATCATATTGCTCCATATGCTGGTGACATTACCTTGCTGTGCCTATCATTTCCTCATATAATCTGCCTCCAAGGCACATGTATACACATAGACTGAAATACTGACTACAAATTCTACAGGAACAGAACTATTCTGAGGAAATTCAAAAACTTGATCACCTTTCTCCAACGTGTCTTTTTGCCCAACAGTTTGAAATATCTCTGTGCTGAAAGCAAAACAGATATTACCTTCATAGTAAACCACACAAGAGATTAAACAAATTATCTTTATAACCTTAGGTAATTTATTAATATGCACCTGTTTCACAATTAATTAGACAAGCAAATGAAAACTGAAAATCAGCTTCTAAAGACAGACTAGTAAATGTCTGTGAACATGGTCCACATGCCTCTGCTCTTCTAGATACAGAATGTAGTCTGATTCTACAGGTAATGCTAACTAACAGGCTAAGATTGGCATCTCTAGTCATTCAGATGCAGGATGTCTACAGAATGTCATATGACCAGGTGTTTCCATGAGGCACCATCCGCCTTGGCATCACCCTGAAAACTCGATACTTACTCTTGAACTGCTCTGGCTATAGAGAGGGCTGTAGATCCAGTTTCATTAACACTATCCAAGGTCACATTTGGCAGGTCATCATCATCACTGTCACTTTTAATTTGTCTGGGAGATAGTCCACGTGGGTCCATTTGTGCTGGGAAAGAAGGAGACACAATGGATTAAAACAAGCACAGCGAAATTAACACCACCCTGGAACAAAGTTAAGGTAGACATTCTCAGCTTATTTTGCTATGTACCATCATTATCTTTATTATTTCTATTTCACTATTTCTATTCCACCTTCTGTCCTCACAGGGTTACACGGAACATTTGCAAATATCGATTTACACAATGAACAATTAAAAGGAACAATTAAATAACTAAGTTAAAACTCAGTAGTCAGCTACTATATTCTAGTTTTATGATGAAGATATCAGGAGAAATGATTTCACGTTTCTGGTTATGCTCTGTGCCAGGCATAGTAGACTAATGACCTCCCAGATTGTATTAGACTTCAACTCCCATCAAGCCTAGCTGGTGTAGACAATAGTGAGGAATGATATATGTGATCTGCCATCTGAAAGGCAACATGTTTCCAGGGCTATGCTTGTTTTACATACATACAGGTACATACAGAATTATTATGTAAGATAATGTGTGCATTGAAATATAGACAGCTGAAATTTCACATGTCTAGAAGAAATATTCTGGTAGTATTTATCCTGTGGTAAATTAGTTTTGATAGCACATTGATTTTTAAAACACACTAATTGCAAGACATGTAAACATCTCTATAATCTGCAGTACCAGGTGGATTCACTAGGGATGCATTTACACTGTAGAATTAATTCAGCTTGACAGCATTTTAACTGCCAAAGCTCAATGCTATGGAATCCTGGAATTTTTACTTTGTAGAACTACATAGCATGTCAGGGGAAGTGGTGTCAAACTGCATTAATTCTATAGTTTAGCTGCACTCTAGCTTACAGGCACATACTGCTCAAGAGCAAGAATGCTGGGCTAAAGCTGAGTTTTCCTCAAGAGTAATAAAACTTTAGATTTGTTTCAAATGTTTGCACTGGGACCAGCATCATGGGAACCAAGCGTTTTTACCATTCACTTATGATCATTCCACCACCAGAATAAAAATTTCCTGCTTCCATGATCATCCCTTTTCCCTGTGATTTCCCATCTTACTCCCAAGTCCCTGTTTTAAAATTCTTGTCATCTGTGGCACCACTATTTTTTAAACATCCCCATGAGTTCATTCACCCCAGCAAAAAAACAAAAACAAAACAAAACTGCCTTCCTTCATCTCAGTTATTGCTGACTTGTTCTCCACTAGTCACTCCAAAGCCCCATTTGTGCAACTGGAATGGAGGTGGCACAGCAAAAATAGTATGACAGGAACAGAATGAGCCGACTATTTTAGTTGCTTTAAAAATATAATCAAATAATTAGATGTATAGGAAGCGGAAAACAGGGCAGACACCACAGTGCTTATGTGCACACTACTGAAAGTACCAATCCAGGGAAACTGATGTGTGTCAAGTGAATTGAGCAATCTGTGGAAATATTTCAGGTATGCTACCATCCACTCTCAACCTGCATATTCTTACTTTATAATGCTAAAACATAATATGTGCTTGAGCATCCGCCTTTGTTTGATGACTGGACACCTGAAACTTGACATGACTGCTAAGAAAAACTTGTGGGTATTTAGTTTTTAAAACTCATTAAGTAATTTTAATCTATTTAAATGTGTCTAGTAGCCTGCACTATTACTTCAACTACTACGTGACAGAATAATCTGAGTCTACAGGATATAGCATCACCTAATTGCTAAGTGGCAGTTTTCCCTAATCATGACATAACAGCTTCTGTTAGTGAAAGGGACTCTATTAAGATTCAATCTTGCAAAAAAGTGATTAGTAAAAGCTGTCGCACAGTAACAAACAACACAGAACATCAGAAAAGGTGGGGAAGATTGCAACCAGTTTCAAATTAGGCTCCAGAACAACAACATGCAAGACAGAACACCAATGGCATGGTAAACTAGAACAGCAGAGACTTTGGAGCAGAAACTTTCATAACAGGATCAACCAGGGTAACAATGGACAAAAATGGGAACAACAATAGTGGGGGAACATTTATTTTCTTACAATCTACACTTAAGATTACAAATTGTTAATCACAGTGGACTTTTTGTTAGCTTCTTGCACCTACTGCTACATAACCAGATAGAAATGAGACATTCTAGTGATGTGTTGTGGAAAGATTCAGCTACCCCTAATCAAAAGCCTTACAAGAAGACACGCTTATGGGTCACACTCTCCATTATTTCAATTACTGCTAATATAAGTAATCTGTGCAATGTTGACAGTGCCATAATAGTTTATTATAGTTTTTGGACATCACATTACAAGGGTGAGTCTACCCATGAAAAGCCAGGCGCTTTCTAAAAAATTGTTGCACATATAACAAATAATGATATTGGGTGCCTTCAAGTATGATAGCCCTTGGACAAACCTGTCACCAGGTTTTTTTGGATAGATTTTGTTCACAGGTGTGTTGCCTTTGTCTTCTGAGACAAAGAGAATGTGACTTTCCCAGGCTAATCCAGTGAGTCTCCATGGCCAAGTGATTTGAACCCTGGTCTCCAGAGCCATAGTCCAATGCTTAAACCACTACTTCATGCTGGTTCCCAATAACTAGCAGGGTTACTCTGCTGTTCTAAGAATTTGGAGATCAAACTAAATATTTTTGCAGTTCAATTCTAAAGATACTTTCTCAGAAGATGGGTGCAAAGGTTGCACTGAGTTCAATGAACTGACTCCTATTAAGGTTAAAACTAAATAATATAAAGACCACACAGTTGCAGGGCAAAGTAGCAACTCTGTCTCATCCCCTCGCTTCATAACATCTGGTAAATAAAAACCAAATATGGGATGTGATCTCATTATATACTCCCACACTCCATTGAGTGCTGCTATAAGACTGAGAAATTCAAAGCAGAATGACATTGTGTCACATCATTTTGTTTATTAGACATTAATGTCAGAAGTGAGGAGGAAGGTGTACTGATCTAACTGCACAGCATCTAGTTTCAGCTGAAGTATGCTTAAGAACTTCAGGGGGCAATTACATCTGTACCATTTATTTGTGCTCGTACAGAAAATGCCATCCACAGCTAAGGATATTTCAGGAATGCAGTTTATCCACATTCCAAAATATCCCAACATGTTGATGTGAACAGGATCCACTTCAGGATCTACTTTTCTATCAAATTATCTGATTATTTTCTCCCTCACTCCAAGGACACACTTGATATATAACTGGATGGAACTGGAAAACAATCGAGATCCTGAAATCTGGGTTGAACATTTTCTGGGAAAATGTCCCATTTTAAACATGTGTAGCAGCTTTCTGTTCACTCCAGCTAGGTATAATCTGTAGGTAAAGTGAAGTAAAATGCAAAAAAGAAAGCATTTTATGTGGATTCCTAAAATCCAGAAACACAGAGAAATATTAAAACATCATGAAGTTCTGCTGGCCACCCACAAAACTAACACAGACCAAATTCCCCTCAATTCATTCAGCCCAGCCCACAGAAATTTACATAGTAAAAGATGGTAACCACTTTACTAGTAAAAGAGAGACTGACAACCATGGTATCACATTTATACAACAAATGAATTGCAAAAATTGCAAACACTAATCTCCTTTTTAAAAAGCCACAAATCATTTTGACTGTAGGCTTCATAAGCAGAATAGTTTTTGGTATTGCAATAATAAGGCTGAATGTACGAACTATGCAGGAACTCATAAAATCCGTATCTAGGTATTAAATATACAGCTCTGGGAGAGATTAAAGACAATCCCAAAACATCATTTGTGCAGTTCATATCATAGATATGTTGTTCTGTCTTAGCTGATGGGCACAAAAATAGAGGAAACTCTTTTTAAATCTGATTTATTTATTTGTGTATTATTGTGTTAATTGTTTTTTTAAATGGCTGTATGATGTTTGCATTGAATTTTTGCCGCTGCTTGTTGTTAACTGCTCTGAGTCACCTAATGGCTGAGAAGAGCAGTATACAAATAAAGTAAATAAATAAATAATAACATAAATTTATTGTAAATTTACATATTCATAAAATATAAAAAAGCTCATAGCAGATATCATTAACAAAACAGTTTTACCAGCAATGTTATACACACCTGAAACATGGGCAACAACGAAATTAAGAAAAGGAAAAACTGGCGGCGACTCTAAGTGCAATGGAAAGAAGGATGTGTGCCACGACCATCAAAGATAAAGTGAGCAATGAAAAGCTGTGTCAAAGAACCGGGGTACATGACGTGGTCAATGAAATCTATGAAGCAAGAAGAATATGAGCAGGGCATATAGCATGAACAAAAGACAACCAATGGAGATGTCAACTAATGAACCGCATACCAGGAGACCAGAAGCAGCCCTTGGGCAGACCTTGTATTCAATGGGACGAACCAATGGTTAAGCTAGAAATGGAAAAAAAACACAAGATCGTATATTTTGGCAAATGGTAGATTTGCGTGAAGCCCAAAGGAGTGGATTGACAACAAATCGAATAGGATAGGATAAAATATGAAATAAATCTATATATACCTGGACCAATACAATAGTACCTAACATCTATGCAATAATTGTATATGACTATACCCTCCCCTCCTCTCAACCTTTTGTTGTGGTGACTTCTTGTCCTTCAGGTTGGGGACATTAATATACAATTCCATTCTTCCTTCCTAATACATGGTTTTTCTATTCTTCCTTCTGTCCTGATAATAATTATTTAGAGATTCCCAAAAATATTCTAACAGATTAAATTTTGAAGCCTTCTATTAAAACTTTTCGCTCTTTTTTTTTTTTACAAAATTTAGAAATGGCTCACAGTCTTTGATAAAGTATGTTGTGTTTTTTCTTCGTTCATCATTGCTAATTTGTCCATTTCTGCTATTTTAAAAAAATAAAAAATCCATTCTTCTATTTTTGAGAGGTCTATCTTCTTCCAAAGTTGTGCATATAATGTCTGTGCTGTTCTTATAATGGAGTGCAGTACTTTGTAGTTTAGCGATTTCGTTTGTTTATTTGACATTTCCAATAAAAATAATTCA